ATGTGTGGGATCGTTTTTTTTTTTTAATGTACCAGAGGTGTTAGCAGTAGAAATTCCTGGGAGTGTTTTGCCTCATGTGTAAGTGGTCATTTTGGCTGTGTATGTTTTCAGGAAGAAGTTCAAAACTCGTTCAGGGGATACAGTGCGTCTCATGGATCTTCTGGAAGAGGGGCTGAAACGGGCCATGGACAAGCTGAAAGACAAGGAACGGGACAAGGTAGCTCATATTTCCAGGGAACCACACGGATTTGTTCACGGGTGTAAAACTTTGACATTTTGAATGTGTGCTGAGACAATGGATGCAGCCAGGCTGCATGGGATTGGGAAGCATGGCTCCTTCATGCTTTGCTGAAAGCTCCCTTTTAAATGGAAACAACATGAAGATCTCTCAAGGGCTCATACAATGTAAGTACAAACCACTTGGCCATGCTGACAGCTTGCAATTGTGCCAAAGAGGTGCTCTTTGAGTGTTTGGCTGATCCAAAATGCTCTGCAGGGGCATTTCAGAGCACAGTGTGTGTGCACAGGTTGTGAGAAGTGGGAGCACAGTGTGAAAGTCCGCCTGCATGGTGGCAGATGGTTAGATGTTATGTGGGGGGCAGGCCTTCAGCAGCAGAGGATGCACTGTGTGCATGCAGGCCTGAAGGCACGGATAGGGTGTCAGTCCCCTATGTGGAAAGGCAGTTGGGAACTTGCTTCCATGTGCCATGGGTTAAAAACTCCTGAGCTTGTCATGCAAGCTGTTGGGCGTTGTGGTGCCAACGTAGGTTTCCTCCTTTTGATCATTACCCGTTTTAAAATTGTAATAGGTCCTCACACCAGAAGAGCTGAAAGCTGCCCAGATGTCAGTCGCTTTTGGATGCATTAAGTATGCAGATCTCTCCCACAACAGACTAAATGACTACGTGTTCTCCTTTGACAAGATGCTGGATGACCGAGGAAATACAGCTGCGTATTTGCTGTATGCCTTCACGCGGATCAGGTGAGTTGAGTGTGGAGGGAGTCACTTGAAGCATGTAATTAGCTCTGAGTCTGTAGTGCACAGGGAGGTGGGGAAGGAGTGGCTTTTGTTCAATCAGTGCTCTTAGGGGTATGTGGAAAGAGAAGTCAGCTCCCTCACTCATTGTCCAATGTCCACGTCATTGGAGACGTTTGCCTGTGGTACCTGAAGCAGGGTACTGCTCTGCAATTGTGGAAGTTGTTGGTAATGACAAGCAGACCGCGGTCTGTATCATTTCAGGGCTATTGCTCGTCTGGCCAATATTGATGAGGAGATGCTGCGGAAGGCAGCAAGGGAGGAGGCACTTGTCCTTGACCATGAGAAGGAGTGGAAACTGGGCAAGTGCATCATGAGGTTCCCAGAAATTCTGCAGAAGATCCTGGATGATCTGTTATTGCATACCCTCTGTGATTACCTTTATGAGCTGGCCACCACCTTCACCGAGTTTTACGACAACTGCTACTGCGTTGAGAAGGACAGGCAGAGTGGTGAGTGCTGGCCAAGCGGTGCTGTGCATGTCATTGTGTACTGCAGGGTCTTTCCCTGTGTGGGGAAGGCGGTTGTTGCCTTACTGGTGGCGGTCCAACAAGTGCTGTCCACGGGAGAGGGCTGAAGGGGTTGGCGGAGGAGGAGGATAAAACTGTGAGCAGCCCGTCCCAGGGGCAGCTTGGGGGCAAATGGGCCCCAAGAGAGAGGGCGGAGGTGGTTCATCTGAGCAGTGGCTCCAGCTTCAATGTTGGTCTGTTGTTGTTTTGCAGGCCAGATTGTGAAGGTGAATATGTGGAGGCTGCTGCTGTGTGAGGCCACAGCCACCATCATGGCCAAGGGTTTTGACATCCTGGGAATTAAGCCGGTGGAGAGAATGTAACAAACTTGTTCCCTGTGGAGTAACAATAAAAGGACTGACTGCCTGTGTCCGTGTCTGATGGCAAGGGAAGGCGCTGTAGAGGAGCAGCACCCAGAGGGGGAAAGGGGAGGGAACTGGAGGGAACACAGAATCACAAGCTTGGAAACGACCGATAAGATCATCTCGTTCAACTGTCTTCTCATTACCCCAAGTACTAAACCTCATCTCGTAGCTCCTCATCCAGCCTTCTCTTGAACACGGCCAGCGATGGTGACTCCACCACCTGCCTGGGCAGCCATTCCAGTGCCTGATCACTCTCTGAGAGGAAAGATTTTTCCCCAGGTCCAGTTTGTTGCCTGGAAAAACCTCTTAGAACCATTAAGGCTGGAGAAGACCTCTACAATCATCTAGGTCAGAGGGAAGTGTGACCTTTTATTGAATAAACCTTCCTGTTGTACATGCCTGGGGCTGCGTGCCATGGCCTGAGCAACCTGATGGGGCCTGTGGAAAGACGTGTCCCAGGCACCGGTGATTGGTGTGAAACACTGATGGCAAGCAAGCAGAGGTGCAGGGGAAGGCCCAGAAACGTCTGCTGGGGCTTGAGTGCTGCTGGCACACGTGCAGCAGGTGAGGCTCATTGTGATGACCAAGCCATGGATGACGGCATCACTGTGGGACGGGTGGTGATGACCCGGAGTGAAGGTGAGGACTGGCAACAGGGCCAAGTGATCCTTTGTGACATCGCTGTGCGGTGGATTGTGACTGCTCAGCCCACCCTGCTGCAACGCGGGTGCGGCAGCCCAGCCGATCAGTTCGTGCCTGGCATCGGACCGAGCGTGTGTGCGAGGACCGGAGCGCAACAGGGCGAGTTTGGAGCTGGAACGTGCTCTGGGTGCTGCCAGCGCAGCTCTCAGCGGCCGTCTCAGAGCCACTTGTGCCGTACCCTGACCCTGCTGGGAGCAGGCGGACGGGACTTTGTTCAGAGTCGCGTGCAGCAGTGCAGGTAGGCAGCGTGGCAATGCCTCACGCTGGCAGCTGGGGGGATGCCTCTTGAGGAACCCTCCCCAGGTTGGTCGGTGCCTGTGGGGTCTCTTGTCCTATTGCAATGTGACACCCGCTGCCCCAGCATCAGCGTCGGGGAGCAAATTGTCATCTCCCACTCCTCCATTCCCACTGCAACTGGTGGAAGTGTGGAAGCAGCTTTAGGCACCCACTGCCCCTTGTGCCTGGAGAACTGGGACAGCTTGGCATACACTGTGCCATGCTGCCACCAGGTTTGTTTCCACCGCATCCAGCGGTGGACTAGCAGCAGGCCCCAGTGCCCGCTCTGCAAGCAAGGCACGCAGTCCATCATCCACGCAGGGCGGGCAGGCAGGGACTTTGAGGAGCTGGCCCTCAGACCAACCGCAGCGGCATCCATTGCTGCATGTTGAACCTGCCTAGCTTTGTCTTGTGGCACCACCTCATGACAAGTTGGTTACAAGTTACACGTGCAGTAGAAACATGTGCAATTTTTGTTTTTCCAAGTATATTGCCATTACGAAGGAAAATCATGGAATGACGGAGGGTGAGGGGAGCCCAGGCTGGTGCCCCAGTACGTGCAGTGATGGACTGTGAGGTCACTGACCAAAGGGTTGTGACGGCAACGAGAGACAACTGTGACCTCAACAGCCCTTGCTGTATCCATTTGGGTGCCAGCAGAGGCCAGCGTGCACTCATGCCTGGACTCCAGCTGAGCGTAGCTGTTGGACTTGGAGCACTGAACCAAGTGGTTGTGTTGCGCTGTGGGGCTACTGGCAGCAGTTCTTGCTGCCCATCCCACAGCATCACCAGCGTTTCCCCCAGCCCTGCCTGGCTCAGGCAGCTGGGGCTCTGCAAGGTGCACTTGCAGCAGCAGAGGTGAGAGGTGCAGGACGTGGCCCCTGCAGCAGCTGGTGGAGAACAGGGACCGGGAGGGTTTCTTGCTGAGGGACCGGGGGGGCATCACTGCTGCCTGCCCCTGGGGCAGCAAGCGACCGTGGCCTCTCTTTCTCTTTTGCAGTTTGTAATACCTTCTGCCTGCTGCAGCACCAGTGAGGGGAGCAGCTTCCCAACCTCAGGTCTCCCCAGCCCACCGCAGAGCCCGGGACCATGGACGTGCCATCCAACTGGACCTGCCCCGTCTGCGGGCAAGCTCGGGAGGATGTCACCCATGTGACCCCCTGCCAGCATCAGCTCTGCTATGGCTGTGCCATCTGGTGGGCCCAGAGGAAGCCGACTTGTGCCGTATGTGGGCACAAAATAATCACCATCCGCTACTCCATGAGGGCGGATGACGATTATCTTGAGTGTCACATCCCGCAGCCCACGGGACACTCAGATGATGGCCTGCAGGATGAGCAGGGGCCTGCAGAGTCAGTGCCTGCAGAGCCAGTGCCTGCAGAGCCGGAGCTCATTCCACCGGAGCACAACTTCCCTGCCGAGGTCTGGGCTGCGTTTTTCTGTCAACATCGGGAAGACCTCGCACCCCTGCTCTTCTGGCTGCAGGAAGAGATCCGGGCAATGTCCAACGACAACTGGTGGGAGGTGCAAGCGGGACTGTGGGCCACTGTCAACTTCCTTTGTGAGCACGGGCTCGACCAGGCGGCCTTGGTACGAGAGCTGGAGGTGATCACCCACGGCGACATCGTGCCCTTTGTGCAGGACCTCATCAGCATCGCCGCAGCCCTGTATGGCCCCCTGATCCACCGCCAGCTGGACCAGCAGGACGGCCGTGCTGCACGAGGGCGGGAGGACGGCCCTGCAGCCAGCCCCAACATCAGCACCTCCCCTCAGCATCCTCCTGCCTCTGGAACCGAGGAGCTTCTCAGCGGCTCCACTGGGGGACCTGGGCTCCCCAGCACCGCCACCGCAGCAGAGGAGCCGCAGGAAGAGCCAGGGCAGGCAGCAGCTGCGGGCCCTTCCATCCGGAGCAGAGACCGCTCGTGTGGGGGGCCCCGGCGCGCCCCGAAGAGGAAGGCCTGCAGCAGCCCCCAGGATTCGCCCCCACCCCGCAAGAGGCGGCCCCGACGACGGCGCTAGGCCTCGTCCCACTGCCATCAAAGCACGCCTCCAGGGGGCTGGGAGGCCAACATCTGCCTCCCAGCCTGCTGTTTTTAGACAAAATAAAAAAACTTTCAGAAAAAAAATGTCTTGGTGTTATTGACAAGGCTGTTGGCTGCTTTCTCCCTCTTCTGGTCCCATGGCAGGGTGTAGAATCACTGCTTTATTTCCACCACCACACACTGGCACTCACAACTTGCAGCTACTTCCTCGGGTCCTGTTTGTTGCCTGGGAGAAGAGGCCAAACCCCTGCTCACCACCACCTCCCCTCAGGAGCTTGTGCAATGCAATGAGGTTTCCCCTGAGCCTCCTCTTCTCCAGTCTGAACAATCCCAGCTCCCTCAGCCGCTCCTCATAAGACTTGTGCTCCAGACCCCCCACCAGTTTCATTGCCCTTCTCTGGACACACTCCAGGGCCTCAACATCTTTCCTGTAGTGAGGGGCCCACAACTGAACACAGTACTCCAGGTGCAGCCTCACCCACGCTGAGCACAGAGGGACGATCACTTCCCTGCTCCTGCTGGCCCCACTGTTTCTAATGCAGGCCAGGATGCCATTGGCCATCTTGGCCAGCTGTGCACACTATCAGCTCATGTTCAGCTGAGCATCAACCATCACCCCCAGGTACCTTTCTTCTTCACAACCATCCAGCCCCTCGTCCCCAAGCCTATAGCACTGCATGAGGTTGTTGTGCCTGAAGTGCAGGACCCGATGCTTGAATGGGATGGTGGAATCTCATCCTATTCATCTCAGCCCCGTGATCCAGCTTATCTAAATCCCTCTGAAAGACCTCTCTAGCCTCAGGCAGATCGATGCCACCTCCCAGCTTGGTGTCATCTGCAAACTTACTGAGGGTGCACTCAGTGCCCCCATCCAGGTCATCAATAAAGACATTAAACAAGATGGGCTCCAGTGCCAAGCCCTGGGGGACACCACTTGACACGGCTCACCAGCTGGACTTCACTCCATTCACCACGACGTGCTGGGAACAGCCCTCAGCCAGTTCCTTACCCAAAGGACCTGTCCAGTCCAGACCACAGGCAGCCCATTTCCCCAAAAGAAGCCTGTGAGAAACCGTGTCAAAGGCTTTGCTGAAGCCCAGGTAGACTGCATCAACAGCCCTTCCCTCATCTACCAGGCTGGTCACCCAGTCATAGAAGGAGATGAGGTTGGTCAGGCACAGCCTGCCTTTCACTAACCCTGGCTGGGCCTGATCCCCCAGACACAGCGCACCTGCCCTGCGATCTCACCTGAGATGATTTGCTCCATTACTTTCCCTGGTACCAAGGTCAAGCTCACAGGCATATAGCTCCTCACATCCTCCTTACAGCCCTTCTTGAAGATGGGAGTCACATCAGCAAGCCTCCAATCCTCTGGGCCCTCTCCAGTTAGCCAGCGCAGATAGATGGCTGAGAGCAGCTTGGCAATCACTCCCGCCAGCTCCCTCAGCACCCAAGGGTGCAGCCCATCCGGTCCCCTGGACTTGTGACAGTCCAGATGGAGGAGAAGCTCTCTGTCTCCACCTGAACTGCTGGGGGCATATTATGAGTAGCATCCCAGACTGCCAGATCAGGGCGTAAAATTTTCAGAGGATTACTGGTCTGGCTATTAAAGGCAGATGTAAAGAAGGCATTGAGGACATCAGCCTTCTCTTTGTCTTCCATGGCTGCATTCCCTGCTGCATCAAGTATAGGATGAAAATTATCCTTGGTTCTTCTTTTGCCTTTGATATACTTACAAAAGGATTTTTTATTGTCTTTTACAGCAGTGGCCAATGAGAGTTCAAGTTGGGCTTTTGCCTTCCTAACCTCCTCCCTGCATACCTTAGCTACTCCCTTGTAATCTCCCCAAGTAGCCTGTCCCTTCTGCCAGAGGACGTAGACACTCCTATTCTGAGTCTCAACAGTAATTCCCGGCTTATCCACACCAGTTGTCTTCCCCTACAGCTCACCTTACGGCGCTCAGGGGACAGCCTGTTCTTGTGCCTTAAGATTTCCATCTTGAGGAGCGTCCAAGGCTTCCTGGACCCCTTTACCCTTGAGAAGCGACTCCCAAAGGACCCGTGCTACAAGCACCCTGAACAGATCAAAGTCCACCCTTTGAAAGTTCAAAGAAGTAGTTTTGCTGGTCACTCTTTTGACGTCTCCAAGAACGGAGAATTCTACAATTATGTGGTCACTCTGCCCAAGATGGTCCCCAACCTTCACTTCTCCCACCAGTTCTTCTCTGTTAGCAAAGACCAGGTCCAGCAGGGCACGGCGCCTGGTAGGCTCTCCTACCAGCTGCATAACCACACAGTCTAGAAACCTCCTGGACTGCTTCCTCTGTGCTGTGTTATGTTTCCAACATATATCAGGGAAGTTGAAGTCTCCCATGAGAACAAGCGCTGGCGATCGTATCCAGGTCCAGAGGCAGACAACAGCTGATGTGGGCACAGCTAAGAGCATTTCTGGTCACAGGAACTGAATCCCCATGGCTGTACTCTTTATCCTGAAGTTTGAGAAATCAGAAATACAAGGGATCTGCAAGGTGCGTCCCATGTTTGATGGTGTCTTTCACAGCCCTCACCTAAGTGCGGGGTTGGTGCTCAGGGTGCTCACTGCATAGAAGGTGTTAGTGAACTGATAGGGCTGCACACTTGTAGCTGCAGAAGAGGTCAAACTCTTCTCTGGCTCAATCTGTGGATGGGGAAGGAAAAGGCAGTGAGCAAGAGACTGTGTGGGATCAGAGGTGCTGTGCAAGGCTCACATGGCATCACTGCATTACCCCTGCTAGGGCACCCTGACTCCAACCCCTCTCTGAGGAACCTTTAAACAGCAGTGGCCTGTGAATCAGTACTTAGCAGGACAGTGGAGAATACCGCCTGCAAGGACATCCCACATTCTTATTGCTGTACCTTGCAAGGGCCCTGTATTAGCACCCAGACAAGTAGTGCCTCCTGCCTTCAAAGCCCAGCTGCTAAGTAGTATGCATGCAGCCACACTCTACTGCTGCACAAGCCTAGGGCAGATCTACTAGCAGAGTCCTCACAGCTAGTAAAATGGGAACTCCATGCTGCTTTCCCTGTTACTGCACCTTCCAATAAACCCAAAGCTAAAAGAGACCACAGGTGCTTGAGATTAAACATAAGCCAGCAAAGGTGCATGAGGACTCGGAGGACTTTGAACACTGCTGGCAGCAGGGATAGGCATTTCCCCTCTGCCATCTTCTGGAAGGACTGTGACACTGGGTATCTCCCTTGGTTTACCTGCTTGCTGATACATCTGTTTGTGAGTACCACCTCCTACAGCTGCCCCCATCCTATGGCAGAACCATCCCGCCTCAGAAGGCAGAGCTGGGCACCATAGCCATCCCACAGTTCCTGAGCAGTGCCTAGCAGCTGAGCACAAGTTCCAGCACCAGCTGCTTTTTGATGTCAAGGCCAAGCCAGGTAGGTTCTGGTCTAGAGACAGCAGCCAGGGTCAGGCGTGGTCCAGTGATGAAGGCTTGAGTCTGGCTGAGCAGGTCCACATCCAGGTAGAGCTCCACAGGGGCCACTCCTCATGGTCACCATCAGGAAAGGGAGCAACCCTGTCTCAGCTTTCCTCTAGTGCCAGCACCAGATCCCTCCCCCAGAAGGGCAGAGGATGTTGTCACAGCCCCTCACTGTGCACTACTCATAGCAGGATGGTGCAGGATGGCTGCTGGCCCAAGAGTAGCTCTGGGGCAGGCAGCAATGCTGGGGCTGAGAGCCATGAGAGAGTTTAGAACACACCACTCCGGCTTCAGGGCTCACTGGGGAAGGGTGAGGGAGGCAGCTCCATACTGCTAAGAGCCACGTGCAAGAAAGAAGAGCAGAGCTGAATAATGGGATGCATCGATGGCTCCCTGGGATAAGGGGGCTGCGAATCAGTTGTGATAAGGCTGCAGAAGAAGCCACCCTGTCCCCCAGTACCTGAGAGAGTGGCAGACAACAGTGGAAAACAGGGTCAGCTCCAAGTGCAGATCATCAGGCACATCCGTGGTGAGGAGTGCTAAGCGAGCCAGGAGGTGGGGCAGCAGCCAACAGGGCAGGCTCAGAATCGGTGATAGTAGACAGCGTGAGTCCCAGTCCAGCAAGTGCTAGCAAAGTCCATAATAACAAGGAAGGGCCGAGGTCAAGCTGGGAAATCAGTCTGTGGGAAGATCCAAATGCAAATTAATGGGGGGGTGGTGAGGGGCTGTGGCCAGACGCAGGCATGGCTGCCACTACAACCACGGTTCCAGCACAGAGTGTCATCCCTTGCCAGCTCCCTCAAGATGGGAGGGTCAGGCCTGGCACCAGTGGGAGTGGGGCAGCCCTCAACTGCACAAACACCAAGCTGGCCCCAAACCCAAGGCAGCAAACCCCTGCCAATGCTTTTGCAGTGCGACATCCAGCACCTTACCTGGAAGAGCCTGTTGCATTCTGTTATCATGTGGGCCAAGCCCTGCGTGGCTGCCAGGTTGTCGCTCAGCTCCTTCTGGTCCGGCTTCCCCAGGCTGCATTTCCTCTGGCTTGATCTGTGAATGGGAAAGGAAAAGATAGTGAGCAAGAAACTGTGTGGGATCAGAAGTGCCGTGCAAGGCTTACATAGCATCACTGCATCACCCCTGCTGGGGCACCCTGACTGCAACCAAGGCGGGGCCAGCTGCTCAGGAGAGACAGGGCACAGCACTTTGCTTCCCAGATCACAGCACACATGGCCACAGAGAGCCATAACCCAACTGCTCTTTGTGCAGCCTTCAGCTGCTGTGCTTGTCTGAGACCCTGCAACATCCACAAGGACTACACGGTCCACATTTCAAAAACAGACCCCTCTTTATTTCATACTCACTATATTAATCCCGGTTTCTGCCATTTCTTATCTATGTGCATTCCTGCCAAACTCCTCCAAAATCCATTGGGGGATCAAGTCCTCAGCCACACACCTCAAAGGCAGCCTTGCCTGCCCTGTGCTTTGAAGTCTGAACCCTGCTCTGCAGCATTAATGCCTGGTTACAGCACTGCTGAGGGTTCAAAGGAACTCCCTTCTGCACAGTGACAGCAAAGGGAAAGCTCAGACTCTCCTTCTGATCCTGGTATTTCAGAGGATTGTTGAATTGAAGCCAGGAGGTGCTCACAGGCACCTGCAGCTGGGAAGAGTAGCTGCCCTGTGCTCCTGCCTCACTGAGAGCAGCCCCAATTTTTAAGTCACCTATGGGGTGACAAGTGGCTGTGCTGCTGGGCACTGTGCTACCCTTAAAGCCTCCGCGCCCTGAGACATGTCTGTCCACACCCAGGGGCACAGAGCACAGCAAACAGCTGTGCCTCAGGAGCATAGATAAGGCTGAATGCTCTCTGAGATTCCATTTGCCTGCTTTGGCCCAAGGGCACCTTCCTCTCCGCACGTAGGAGCAGGAGATGTTATGCAACCCAGATAGCATAACTTCTACTTAAGGAGATAAACGTGCAGGATCCCCGTGGCTCTGTTTGGCAGAAACAATCCCTTATCGCCCAGAGGAACGAGTGACAGCAGCTGCTGCAGGCTGCCAGGGGGTCTGCAGGTCCCGCACACCCCACGGTAACACAGGCAGTGGGCGCAGTCAGGCAGCAGAACAGGAGGCGCCCCAGAGTGCCAGGGATGTGCTGCCTTGCTCACACACTCACCAGCAGTGGGACAGAAGGGGCACATTGCCTGTGCTGAGCCTGAACTGAGGGCAGCTCCCACATCTGCACCAAACCCCAACTAGCCTCCCCTAGAAGCACTCGGTCTGTGACAGCTACACAAAGCATTGGTCTAGCAAAGAAAAATGCTGCTGCAAGCAGCAACGCTCAACAGGATGAAATACCGAGTGGAGGAGGAGGAAGTGTCCCGTCTGAGGGTGTTGAGGTGAAACAGCGATGGGGCGAGACAGACAGCAATGTTGGTTGGGGTCATTTGGTTTTCCTCAACACACGCGACCACATCTCGTAGGAAGAAGAGGAGAATTTTCAAGGCTTCCCGGTTCTCCTTGGGCAGAAGGACAATGGCAGCCTGGACAGCCTGCAGTTGCTGGTCCTTCGGCACATCTGGAAATAGAAAACAATGGAATTCACACGTGATTGCAGGGCAGCATCCAAAGGCATGCCAAGCAGGGCACTGAGAACATAGGTTCATGCATTGCCCTTTCATTCCAGCTCATAGCACAAAGGCTGCTACTGCCATCACAGCACGTATGCAGCTTTTGCCCACCACGTGGCAATACACATTCCACAATGCTGGTGCACAGTTTGTAGTTTTTCTTCAATGTCGTGCCAGTGGGCTTACAGAGCTGGCTCTAGTTGCAGCCCAAATAACAGCACTGAAGTTGTCTTTTCAGTCAGGCCCTGACTCATCTGACTGTGTGACACTAAGGTAACATCATAGCACCAGTCCCAATCTGTCCAGCTTTATACAGCCAAATGCTAAAGAAGCACAAGATACTCAAGGAATTGAAAAGCCAAAGCTTTTGTTACCTACATTGGTAGATGTGGAGGAAGGATTCACAGAGCCTGCTGGTAAATATGGGCTCAGGAAGGTCTCGGAAATACTGCTTCACCATATCTGCCACATCAAAGGCTGACTGCCCTTCGTAGCACACACTGTTGGACCTGGTTTCATTCATTTCTCTTAAGGACAGGATCCTGGATCTAACACCAGATTTGCGGAACAGGCCAACCTACAAGGGAAAAGGAAAAAGTTAAAGACAAAGTCATCAGGACTCAAACCTCAACACAAAATCATTGCTCCCTCCCTCTCCTTTCGATAGTTAAAACCCTACGGTAGCAGGACTTAACACCAACATATTCTGGTACCAGTGGAAGCAGCATGGCTAATCCCCCCGGGCATACCATGACTGCTTAGTGGTATGTCCTCAGGCCATACCTGGTCAAGGAAGTGGCTTCTTAAATAATCCAGTGCCTGCAGGATGCCGATAGGCAGCGGGTGGTTTGTTCGCTGAACGTTCAGCAGCAAGGGGACCCCAAAGACATTTTTGTCCTTGTAGTCAGAGGTGTTTATTTTTTTTGACTTTGGTATAGACCTGAAAACAAAAACCAGCACACGTAACTTAACAGCTGTCCAGCACAGCTCTGCCCAGTCCGCACTCGCCTCCGGTCCTGTAGTCTCTGCCAAGCATCTCTGTCACAGCCCCAAACATGGGAAGATTCAGAGAGAAGATACAAAGTGCTTTGAAACGAGTGACCAGTGAGAAACAGAAGTTTTGTCTACAGCAGATGAAATGCTGGAGCCACCGCAATAAGCACAAAACAGCACTGATTTAGCAGGATGAAATTCTTCACTGTGGACAATGTCACCTAGTCAGATAAGGAAATTCACCTGTTTTAAATCCTGTCTTTCCAACAGCATTTGCTTTAACAACAGACTACTTACCAGTTCCAGCCCTGCTTACTGGAAGGGGAGTATCTGTCCATGACAGCAGTGAGTTTCAGCAGTGCCAGCTTCTGTGCCCGGGCCAGCTGGGTGGCCGATGGACTGTCAGTCTGTGTGGAAAAGCCTTCCACGATCCTGCTGTCTTCCACAGACCCACATTGCTTCCTGTGCCTACAGGATAAGTGTTGGTCATGCCAAAGGACAATTTCCCATTGTCCCTCTTAGCTTTCTGCTTGCTTCTGTGAAACCCCCAATATTCAACACAACCCGTCCCTCCCAAACAACCTGTGGTTAATCACTTACAAACAAAGTGCTACTCTCTATGGCTGTACCAAAGATTTCAGTAAGAAGCACAGCAAGCCAGCCTTAAGTCTGACTCCAAATATCTAAGTACTGATTGAGTCATAAAATCATTAAGGTTGGAAAAGACCTCTAAGATCATCTTGTCTAAGCACCAGCCCATCCCTACCGTGCTCACGTGTCACTCACGTGTCACATCTCCACAGCTCTTGAACAACTCCAGGACAATGAGCCCGCAACCTCCCTGGGCAGCTGTGTCACTGCATTACCACTCTTCCTGAGAATAACTGCTTCCAACTACCCAACCTGAGATCATGAGAGCCCTGCTTCCAACAAGATCAGAGCAGACGTAAGTAGACTTCATGTTACCTACAGCCCAGAAGTGCTTGGCACCACCAGTGCAGACTCTAATTCCCAGAATAGCCTCCCTTAATTACATTTTGTTCTGGAATAACAATTATGTTTTCAGTGGAGAGAATCAACAGGGAAAGCTTCTAGAAGGGTGTTTTAATAAAGAAACCCAAGGATGACTGACCTGTTGGTCTTTATAGGGTCTGTTATGAACACCAGGTCTGTAGAGCTGAGCTCCTTGCCCAGCTCACAGCCGTCCTCTCCCTCAGAGGACAGCACAGCTGCTCTCTTAACTTCCGAGTGCTCTGTGTCAAGAGAGATTTCTTTAGGTGAGGACGGATACAGAGACGTTAAGTCACTGGGTAAGTCCAAATACCCATCATCTGAGAACTTCTCTGTCCACTGATCAACCAGCTTTCTGAGACCCTTGACATCTTCTATAACACTATTCAGTTCTGAAAAAACATCATCATCTCCAACTTCTGCTGCTTCCAGCTTATCAAATTCAACATTAGGCATGTTGTCATACACACTCAGCCTGTTATCTGCGCGTGAGATGGGGCTGCTGGGGGCTTTGGAGTCCTTGGTCTTGCTTCTGCTCCGGCTCCCTCCGCAGCCAGTTCTCCAGCTGACAGGAGAGTCATCTCCTGGAGACACAGGACTTTTCATGAGGGCTTTGGGGAAAGTGCCAGGTTTGTGGCCGTGTGGTACTTGAAACATCTGGTTTGTTTGCAACTCTACTTCATTGTTTAGGTTTCCCTGAGATGCATCACTCCACAGCAGGCATTTGCCCAAGTCCTCAGCACACCTCCCCTTTCTTTCACAGCAGCTTTCTGGTTTTTTAAGAGGACGGGCAGTGCTCACCGTTCTGTTTTCAAACTTATTGTTTCTTATGCAGCTAGGAGGAGAACAGGAAGAATTGTTCTTTGTTTGGATGCCAGGGAGGTCAGCGATATTTACACAGTTAAGCATCTTCATCTTCTCCTCATTAAGTCCTTCCAGAAGGAAAGGTTCACTTATGATGGGTTTGGCCTTTGACTGACCACTCCTTAAGTTGCTGCTCCTTAAGTGCAACTTCTCCATTTTCTTTAGAAGGCTCTTCCTCTTTTTGTACGGTGACTTATCCCAAAGCTTCTTCTCATTGGTGGCATTTAAACTGGGGGGAAGTGAGCAATTAAAGGCAGATTCCAGTGAAGCAACTTTACTGGAAGAACTCGGGCTGGCTTCCATGTCTTCAAAAGACTTTGGGGAGCTAACGGCATCACTGTCACCGCTGCTAGTGCTATGAATTGATGACGTATCGTGTTTGTCACCATGGTCCAAAAGGACTCTGTTTTCATTACCAGTGCTCTTCAGCATTGGGCTGCCTGGGAGGGATGCACCAGCACCTTCTGTGGAACCTTCTAGGCTCTCAAGGCGAAACCACTTCTGGCTGCACCGCTCATACGCCCATTTATTACTTATTGCACAAGGTTCATCATCATCGGAGTCGTCGCTCTTGGAAGAAAAGTACATTTCAAGGGCAGTTTTGAAAACATTACATTACAAAAAAAATGTAAACAAAACAAAACTGCCTACCTCTAAAACCTACATACGGAAATGTAAACATTCGGTTAGCAAAGGTCTACCCTGAGGTATGCTCTGTTAGTTGAAAAACATGGTGACAAGCCACAGCCCAGCGTGCTGACAAGCCCGCTAAGTTTACCATAGGAAAAGATGGCAGATTTGATCTCAGGATAAAAAATTCAGTTTTGCAGCAAATCCGGAGGATTTGGCCAAGTATTTTTACCCAAAGACAAACAAATCAAACACTTCATGCTTCAGTGACCAAAACTTCCAGGTAGAAAGTCTCCTCTTGGAGACCTCAAACACAACAACCATTTGCACCAGGTACTGTGTTTGCTGTGTTGCCCGCACACCAAGTGAGTGCCTGGCAACAAGCAATCCTTCATACACATTTGAAAAAAAGTATTTTAATATAACAGTTAATCACTTTCTTACTGAGAACATTAACCATATTTCACAAACATACCTGGTTCCTCTGACAGTTTATTTCCACTTCCATCAACGCACACTTATTCAACGTGTTCAGCCGTCTAGGGTAGAAGAAAAAGAGTTGAATTTAATCTTTTTTTTCTTTCCCCTCAAAAAACAACATGCTCCAAACTAGTAGCAAACTTCTAAATTGAGTCAGCATTATTGGTGCCAACAACTGGTGCACAGCCACATGTTCTCCATACATTTTGGCCCAACCAGTGCCCACTAACTTTGACAACACTAACCTGTGACATTCACAGGTCCAGTTCTGCCATCTCAAAACTAAAGAGGACTGTACTTAATCAGATGCACTTGTTTTAAAAAAATCTCATAGTGAGCTTTAAGGATTGACTGCGAAAAACTGATTCAAGATTTTGAAAATGAAAGAATACTGTGCTGACTGCTTAAAAGAACATAAAAAAAAAAAACGAGGCTGTGAAACTAAATCCTTGGAAAGAGTTATTATCCAACATTTTAATTAGAGCGTGCAGAGTCAGATATGACGCAGTACAGTCACAGCATAAGTGACACTGTCATACTCTGACACAAATCAAGCCAGGAACAGCTGAGTGACAAACACCTTGTGGAACCTGCAGGTGTTGAAGATGATCCAGGAGTAACATTTACCTGAACAGTGATTCGATTGCATCTCCATCTAAAAATTCATGGTCTTTCCTCACAGTCCTTATGTCAATAGGAAACTGCATATCTGCAAATAAAGAAGTTGGAGCTGAAATTTGAATGGCAGGGAATTTTGCCACAGGTTTGGCACAGGCTAAATACATCAAAGACTATTTCGACAATTTTTCTGCGTGTCAGACAATAAATAATGCTTCAAAGAAGAGACCAAGAAAATTATAAGCAACAGAACATCACAGAAGCAGAAGCCACACTCTAACCTCAACCAGAAAAGCTCTGGTCCAGTGCAGAATTCTCCTGAGGCCACTCCAGCCTCAATAAGGTGTCACTCCTGCAAGAACATGCACCGTGCTGCACGCTTTCTATAGGTTCGCATGAAGATACTGCAGAATGTGGAGGTGCTCCATCAGAAGTGCCAGATTCTGAACGAATATTCATATTAGCAGTTCTGCTTAAGCTCCGTATCAGCTGCTCTTTGGGATCATACCTTCAAACAGCTGGGCATACTGGGGAAAGCCGGCGGCCCGCAGCCAGGCACAGGCTTCTCTGGCTTCAAGTTCTGCAACGAGAACATAACATTGCTCACTTATAGGGCTCACGAGTAATGCTTTTACAGAATACACAAGCTAGTTTCATCCAGAGGATTCCCAAAGGGCCTTGTATATGAACATATCATCAGTATACTACTAAGAGAAAAAACTCACTGCATCCAGCGCATTTACACGCACATATCTCTATAGCGGTGGTCCTGACATAGGATAGACATCAAACATGAGAGTTCAGTTGTAAGCATGTACTCGAGATGCACCAGGGCCCTCATACAGCAAAGACCATTTGTGTGCTCTGAGCTGATAAGACACAGACAAACCCTATAAATAGGCTTTAAATCCTATCACAACATTAATAACATGGACTCTGCCTGAGCATTCCCAGAACAAGAGTTCTCAGGAGTACCTGTTGCTAAGGCCCATCAATATTTATTTCCTTGCCAACTTCCCACTCGACTTGGCAGTCACTTCAGCATAACAGATGTCAAGAATTAACTGCTCACTTTCTGACAATCCATAGAAACCTATGGCCAATGCTCTACCATTCCCACAGGAGCAAGAGCAGAATGTAACTTCACAGAAACACTCAACAGATGCCTCAAAAACATAAACATGTTTACATGAGTGCATGCCAGAAGGCTCTAACTCGGCAAAGACTGGCAGCTCTTGGGTCTGTTGATGGAGAGGAATCCCATGCTTGCACACTTTTTAACATCCTCATATACTATAGCACTTGTCAGAACAGACAGACTAAAAGGCAAAGGCTCCTTTCAAGTGAATGTTACAAAAGCACATTTAAAAGGCAGAATCAAGTCTGACGTATTCCTCAATGGCCTATATATCCTATGCTAACGTTTATTGTTGTACCCAACACTGTAATTTATCACAATCTTTACCAAAATGCAGCACTTACTGAATACCAAGGCAGGGGACCGACAAAGCACAGCCATTATACTCACAGAGAAAACCACAACAGAGAGCAAACCTGCCGACAGGAGCCAAGAGAAGGACCAGTATAACAGCACAGCAATCTGAGGTTTGCACCTGGGTCAGACCATGGAAATAAAGCTCAGCGGTCTCATGCTCAGCCCTGCTTGCTACTTCCCAACACTCTATATGGATGACATTCTTTTTAGAGCAAACCAAAACCCAAGCTGTGATGAGAAGAAGAAGAGGCAAACAAATATTTTGTGGCTAGCAATGACACCAGCTATGAGTAGGACAGAAAACACAATGATATTTTCACACCTAGAGGTGGCCTCTTCCATAGAAAGAAGGGGCAGTGGTGGACGTACACGGGGCAAGGCATGGGGCCAGGCTGCCCAGCCCACCCAGCCCTGTAGGAATCCTTGCCATGAATGTGCTCTTCTTTACACTGGGGTCTGACTTGCTCTCTTATCTTTGAACTAATTTTCCAGGGTATTTATAAAAGTTGTGGTAGGTGCAATACTTCCACCTTGAGACAATCAAAGAATTCTTAGAGTTAGAAGTCACCTAGTCCAGCTCACTGCAATGAACAGGGATACCTACACTGGGTCAGGCTGCTTAGAACCCCATCCAGCCTGACCTGGAATGCCTCCAAGAACAGGGCATCCATCACATCTCTGAGCAGCCTCTACCAGTGCCTCACCACCCTTACCGTGAACAACTTCTGTATGCCCAATTTAAATCTCCCTCTTTTCATCTGAAATCATTTCCCCCCGTCCCATCACGATGCAGTCTTCCATTTTTGAGTGGTGGTCAGGTCTTACTTGAGAGCAATTTCAATCTCCCCCAAACCCACACCAAGGAGAGGTTTCTTGCTGCTGACAGCACCTTGACATCAGTTACCCCAGCGCCCCACTTTCCAGCTTTTTTGCAGTTCTGTGCTTGTGAGAAATAACAGATTTGCTCAACAAGGCAAGTTCTCAAGGCACTTCTGCTCCTCCCTGTGCCATGCAAATACAGGTAGAGCAGGTAAGACGACTGATTCTGCCTTTATTATTATTATTATGTATTACCCTAATCTGGAAGGCAACTGGAAAAAAGTCCAAAGAATTCTGCTCTTCCCCAATTTCTGATTACGTGGGAAGACTTTTTCCACACAGTGTTAATCCTGCTACAGCAACAACAGACAAGACAAGGCCCAGGCACCCCTCCTTGAAACCTGTTTTATCGGAGATGAAGGCAGACTGCTCCCCAGCCCAGCCAGTGCCGCTGCCTCCCTTCCCCAGCAGTCCCAAACCATTGCCCTGCTCAGCCTCCTCAACAGCCAGCAGTCCTCCATACAGTGTAACATAGCAAAGACTAATTGCACTTTATTAACCCACCAGAGAAAAAGCAAAAGCATCCTTGCTTGGAATTTTGCCAGGGTAATTTAGGCTCTACACAGGCAATAAATATGTACATCTGGAAATGTAAACAGTGAGATGTCTGCCCTTTGTTTCCTACTTTACTGTCATGCTGTTGTTTTGGAATCACAGCCAACTCCTCAGTTATCACAGCTGAGAAGTGCAATCTATCCCCAGACTTTGTGGTGAGTTTAATTGCATCTTTATCCAGCTCCTTGACATTAGCTTCCCAAGCTGATTACTGGGGCTCCCAAGCCACCATTAAGATCTTTGCTCGGATCCTTGTCATTAGCCTCCCTTGGCAGTCACTGGGACCCAGATAAGTCTAAAGGCATTTTCTTTGCAGATCACATTAACTAGCTTACCAGCGTTCGCTGATCTCTTAATTCCTTCTACATGTTAGAGGAAGTACTGTTTGCTCCATGTGATTTTCAAAGGACTCAGCAAAATTAGGTGTCCAACTCCCATCGACTTTAGAGGATTTCTAAAATCACACTTGAGCAGTATTCTCCAAGCAGATTGGAGATAAAATTCCCTGCAGTCCCAGACCCAGTGCTTCTCCATGCTTTGCTCCTGCACACTGTCCAACAGCAGCAGGTACAGCATTCTGCATGGCTGGTGTTTTACAGGGACTGAGATAAATTCCACGTGAAATACTTAGGAGGAGCTGTAGGTAACAGCTTGGGTAATTGCTTGCTTCCAGTGCAGCCAACATCAGTAAACCTGTATTACAGAAGTAGTGTGAAAAAAGCATCTTGCCCATGCTGTGGCATAACATTAAGTTTTCCTTAGTTCTGATTTTTAAGCAGAGACATACAAAATGATGAATTTCTAATAGAAAGGCACAACCAGGCTTTCCAGCCTGAACAGCATTTGTGCAGGGATAGTGAAACAAGGCAAACAGCTCTGTGTAGGCTGGTCTCAGAAAAACTAGAACATTTAATGTTACTTCCCTGGAAGTTAACTTAAATCACAACTAATTTGATAGCTTCTGGACTGTTAGGCATTACAGTTAGACAGGACAGACATAAGGTAGAATGCTGCAGTAATCCACAGTGACCAAAAGATGATTCAAACTCTATGAGCCACTCTAGTGTCTATGAAACTCTGTAGGACAATGTGCAATGTTAAGGCTCTTGTATTCTGGAACACTAAAATAACATATATAGCAGGGGAAAAAAAAAAAGAAAAAAAAAGGAGATGGAATGAATGCAATACATAAGCAAGAATTTTCTATTTAATACAAGAATTCTTCCTGGGCCTGGGCCCTAAAGAAATGCAGTAGTCTCTAGAAAGCAGCCACAAGCTCCCTCTGCACAGCCACATTTGATTGCAACTGAAATCCACTCTTTCCTGATGGTAACAAATACAGAAACATTATATGACAACAAAAGGAGGAACGACTGTAAGTAGAGGTGCTCACGGAAATGGAAAAATCTTTTGCAATAAGAAATGCCCTAGAGTGGGCTGAGGAATCTGAAGCTGGACAAGAAACCCCACATTTTGTTTCTGAGCTGCTGACAAAGTAATGGAACAAAATAATTTCCACCTATTTTCTTTTTCTGCCAGCCAAATAAATAGGCATGCATAGGCAAAATATCATGAAGACACTCAGGCCTCCAAGGTTCTCTTGACTATTTCATTGCTCATAGGGAAAGAAAATCAGAGACATTTTGTCAAGTTCGCACCTTCCACTACCAAGGAGATGAGAGTATAAAGCCCAGAGGGGGTCTCAACACGTGCAAAATAACAGTAGCATGTGACAATAAATGCATAAGGATTTGGGGCCTGGTGCCACAGTCAGCACCAGTAAACAGGTTACGTTTTCCTATGTGGATACATAAACACATACGCACACACTTAAAGGCATGACCTCATTTCAACAAACACCAACCTTCACAAGTTAAACCGTGCTTTTTGAAGATTTCTTTGTGCCATGGTTCTATGTTTTTGTTTTTGTTTTTTTTTAACTACCAGAGAATGAAAAGAAATATGCCCTGTTCACAGATGGATCGTGTCGTATTGTGGGAAAGCATCGCAGATGCTTGCTGTGTGGAGCCCCACACGACAAGTTGCAGAAGCCACTGAAGGGAAAGGAGAATCAAGCCAATTTGCAGAGGTAAAGGCTGTCCAACTGGCCTTAGATGTTGCTGAACGGGAGAGGTGGCCAATGCTCTATCTTTACACTGACTCATGGATGGTGGCAAATGCCTTATGGGGGTGGTTACAGCAGTGGGAGCAAAATAACTGGCAAAGAAGGAGTAAACCTATTTGGGCTGCTGAACTGTGGAAAGACATTGCTGCCCGAACAAAGAATATGGTTGTAAAGGTGTACCATGTAGATGCTCATGTGCCCAAGAGTCGGGCTACTGAAGAACAGCAAAACAACCATCAGGTAGACCGAGCTGCCAGAATTGAGGTGGCTCAAATAGACCTGGACTGGCAGAACAAGGGTGAATTATTTCTGGCTCGGTGGGCCCATGAGACCTCAGGTCATCAAGGGAGAGATGCAACATACAAACGGGCTAGAGACCGAGGGGTGGACTTAACTATGGATGCCATTGCACAGGTTATTCATAACTGTGAAACATGTGCCATCATCAAACAAGCCAAGAGGATGAAACCTCTGTGGGAGGAAGGGCGATGGCAAAAGTACAAATATGGGGAGGCATGGCAGGTTG